CCAACATGCTGTTCTGCTACACAGCAGAGAGGTAGGCACTTAGCCTGTCTGTACACCAGCTTAGAGTTAGTCCTAATTACCTCCAGCTTTGTAAAGGTGCCCATACACTGCACGATTATCGTACGATAATCGTATGCGATCGGTTTTTCGTACGATAATCGAGCAGTGTGAACGGAGACGTGCGACCGTTTCTACTGTACGGTCACACGTCTTCTGTTGAACCAGCATGTTCGAAAACCAGCCGGGAATCGTACGATTCTCGGCTGGTTAGAACGGTGCTCGGAAGATAAATGCTGAACGGGCCGGTGTGCGCACGCGCACACTGCCCGTTCAGCATTGCGGTCATCGGAAGCCCATCCCTCAGGGGGGCGGGCTTGCGATGATCGAGAGTGCGATCTGCCTGTCCAAAATAGGCAGATCGTACGTTTTTTTAAATCCCTTTACAACCATCGCAAGACTAAAGTCTCAAAAAAGTCTTGCGATGGTTGTACAGTGTATGGCCACCTTTAGTGTAATTATGTTTTAATTTAGTGGAGCCATCATACCACTTTGTAAAAGCAGAACTGTTAAGAACTACCTGAATCTGTCCAATTGTCAATTAGGCTACCAAAACTGGTGACAGGGCTTTTTTTAAATTCGGTGCAGGACCTTATAAAAGGTCCATACCGCCAGAAAAGTGTTGCATAGCCTTTAATGACTGTCCACTGAGCTTAGTAAATGCAATACAAATGTATTCACTTCAATCAACCAATCGTGTGGTTAGCAAGTCTTTTTTTTTCTTTCTTTTTTAAATTTGACAAGATTGGGTATTTACAGCAAACAACCTCTACTGCTGTAGCAACTCAACCCAAATGAGTGATCTCTGACACGCACGGTGGAAAGAGGGCAGTGAGCCAAACGGCTGAACTCTCAAACAGGGATTTATTATTGAAATAAACACGTCAGATAAAGTAAACGGTTCATAGAGTTCAGGGTATTAAAGTGGAACTCAAACTAAATACAATGTGGTCATATTCTTGCTTACCGTTTTATCTGCAGCCAGCCATTCTTGGCATAAACACACATGTAGTGAATCCAATTATTTTTTACACCTACTACTACTATCCAGCTCCCAGCCTCAGTGATGTAGATCACATGCTCTGCAGCTGCCAATCATTAAAGACCACAGGAAAATATGAAGATCAGCAAAACACCTAGGAAGCATGGACAGTAAGCAGTGGGAAGATATGACTGTCCTCACATACATAGATTATGACAAAGTATACATATGCAAATTAATGAAAAAAATACCCTTGAAGGCAATCCAATATAACGTTGGCTCTACAACAGGACCCTTTAATGTGAGCATCCCTATATACAGGTCAGCAATGCTGCTGTGTTGTACAGGTGTGTATTGTATTATGGGATGCAAAGGCCATTTCGGGGGGCTTCAGCTTGGAGCTCAAGTCACTTCTGGGCTCCTCCTCTTTAACTGTGTGAAACATCCAAATCAACTGATGGATTCATCATGCTCTTGGCAATGGTCTTAAAAGAGAAGTAAAGCCAAACTTTTCTTTTAATGTACTCCTGTGACCCAAAGTCAGCTTGGTGTCCAATGGAAATTTCTTCTGATACTTATCGGCCAGTGTAGCGTTTAAGTGCCTGCACCAATAAATCAGCTAGCATTGGTGGCAGGAGATGGTATACACAGCAGCTAGGGGCAGCAGGGACCAGTGTGGGTGTTGTCTGTTCACCTTTTCATTTTCTTTATTTTAGTTGTCAGAATTTCCTTATTTCTACATTTGTTCAGGTAGTCGATTCAAGGCAGTGATGCCAAGGCATCAGCAAAAAAAAGCCAGGCAATGGAGACACACACAAAAAAGTCAGCAATTGTTTAGGTAACGCCCAGAACGCTCTTTAGTCTGGCAGACAGCATATTGGAGGAGTCCATCCTCTACACCTATTCATTTCTAACAGTCCATCTTTAGGCTGCCTCTGCTGACCTCATTCTGTGAATGCTGGTTGTCTGATCCAATGTTTGCACATAAGGAGCTGTGACATCACCGATCGGCAAACTTATTCCAAGTCGGTACTGAAGTCATTGTTTTTAATCATAATAGCCAGACAAGATCAGTCCCTAACTTAACTGTAGGCAGATTATAAAAAAAAGATACAAATGAATGCAGCTCTGTAATCATTGAATGTATTTTTAAATGCAAGCAGTGCAAGTATATGAATTTGACATGGTATCAGCTGCTTGCTGTCCCTGAACAGCAGGGCCCAAGTGTAAGAGTTAAAGCAGCACGAGGAGCCCATTAGGTCATGTGATAAGAAGCATGCCGATAGGAGTGAACAAGATGAGCTCATCAGTGTGCAGCTTTTCCTTTCACGGTCAATTCACAGGCTGGGCAGCTCCAGGATGACCTGAGCTCAGAGGAAGCAGGTTGAATTCTGCTCGCCATCAGAATGAGAACAATTAGTGGCAGAAAAAAAAAAAAAAGTCCAGAGGGAGAAATCACGGTAATCAAACTGAACATCGCAGCAAAAGCTGAATTTGTCATTTAATGGGCTATTCATTTTGATCTTATTTTTGGCTGGACTTGATTTAAAAGGTAAAAGAACAAAAAAAAGCTGAATTACGTTCTGGGCAATATGAACCAGACAGGTTTTGTAAAACTTGTTTATTTAAAATATATACACGGTCCCATTAAATGTATATCCGTCCCACACGAGAATGATCAGAATCTCTTTCAGCAGAACACTGGTAAAACGGTATTGGGAGCTTTCCAGGTGCCATGCTGAATAACTTGTTGGCAGCTGATCTGGTACTTGTATCTGGAGGGTGGTTTCTTATAACGCTGGAAGAAACTAAATCAACAAAAGCCATATCTATATCACAGACCATCAATATCACAATTTAAAAAAGACACGGGATCATTTTGTTAAGGTTTCTTCAAACAGATAATGGAGCTAGCCTTAGGTTTCAGCAGCATAGAGATACTGATAGTAAGAGAAACTGTTGTACATGAGGAGTTCATTCATCCAGTGATATGTACAGCCATATTCAATAAGGGCCAGTGGGGATGTGAACATTTAGAAACACACTTAGACCCCAGTCACACCAGCGCAGAAGTGGTTCAGCACGGTTTCCGTGCGATTTTGAAAGGGTGTTTTAATCGCGTTTCAGCATTGAAACGCAATTAAAACGCTCTGATCAGCACGATTCCAATCTATATGGAAAACAATCTTATCAGCGAGAAAAAAGTAGCTCAGGGAGCATCTTGGGCGATTGCATTGAACGGTCCCCATAGGAATGTATGGGGTTGTTCATGTCAGTGGTTCACGTGACCGAACCGCCCTGGTGTGAACGGGGCCTTAAAAGGGAACCGGTCAAGGCAGAAATATTGGATCTGCCTTTGGTACACCCAGCTTTAAGGTTGACTAGGTTTAGGTTGATCGCTAAGGTAAAGACGAAGCAAGGTAAGGAGGACAGCTCCCAAGCATGCACCAAAACAAGTCTGCCACCATATACTATCCTGACAGCTTCCCTTCAATGGCAATTCCTTTCCCAAGAATTTTTCCACAGCAGCAGCTAAGTAATCAAGCTGGTGCTAATTGGAATGGAAATAATACAGGAACCCATAGCAAACAGATCTCAGTTTACATGCGTCATACTAGTTTATCTGGAGGCAATGTCTAATTGGTTGCTGTGGGTTATTGTACGGTAAACCTCATGCACTACCTCACCGAGCAAGACCATTTCTGTTTCTCCATGCAGCTGAAAATCTACTGTGTTTTGAAGCAGGTGCAAGGTGTCCCCTGACAACAGTTTCTGTAGTGTAATTGACGGGTCACCTATTTTAGTGTTCTGACTGATCCCCTTGCTTAAGCAAGCAAGACATGAGGGTGAGAGTTGTTGTGGGAACCATCAAAGATGTCCAAACTGCGACCCTCCAGCTGTGGTGGCACTACAAATACCATGAGGCTTTGCAAGATTCTCACAGCCACAGACATGACTCCCGGAGAGAGATTCTTCATGGGATTTGTAGTTTCACCACAGCTGGAGGGCCGGAGTTTGGACATCCCTGATCTAGGATATAATGGCGTTTGTTTTAAAGGAAACGCCTCTTGAGAGAAACATGGAGGCTGCCATTGCTGATCTTTCCTACTGAAAATGCAAATTGCTTGGATGTTCTCTCTCTCTCTCTTCAGTACTTAAAAAGTAGTTTCATCTTTTTTTAATAAACAAATTGCCTGCCCAGTCAAAAAGTCCCACTAAAGTACCAATAAACTAAGCTTTCAAAAGTGATGCATCGTCCATACCTGTAGGCCATTTTACTACGCTGAAAAAACAATATTTTAAACATTATGCATAGCTCTCTCCTGTCTCAAAGACGAGGCAGCTGTTGGACAGTCGTCTCCAGCATCACGGGAGCGAGCATCATTCTTCAGAGCTCTGCACGTGTGCAATGCATACTCTCTCCTGCCGCTGAACTCAGCAGAGACAACATGCGTGGGGTTCTGAACAAAAAAGCGCTGGGCTTGGTGATGCAGGGGATGAGCGTCTGATGGCTGGCTCACCCTGTAAACAGGACAGAGCTATGCAGAAATATTGGGTGTTTTCTGGCACGTTTCGGTGGGCCTAAAAAGGTATGGAAGATACATTGCCAAAGAGTTTCAAAAGCTGCTTTGCTTACTGGTACCTACTTGGGCTTCTTAACTGAATAGGCTATTTATAAAAAGGTGAACGAAACGTTTTAGTAATGAGCGACCCAAACCAAGCATGCAGATACGTTTTCTCTGACTTTCCTCAACTGTACACTTGGTCCAGGTCAGTGACTCAGAATGGGCCACCATCCAGGCAAATTAGAAGTCACCAATGGCAGCTTCCATATTTCTCTCATGAAGATTTGAAGTGACCGCACTGATGGATGCACTGCAGGTGAAAACTTAAATAGCAGGAATGCAACTTTGCGGCAAGCCAACATTATGCTGCAGAAATTTGCTTTACTGCCTATTTCACTCCGTTCCCAATAAGAACGGTTTAATTTTCTAAGAGGATTATGCACTACTACATCTTCAATGACAATGACCGGGACCTCACTATAAAAAAGTGCAACACCACTGTGGTTCCAAGTGTATAAACCCAATAGCTGTACAATGTTCGCATACAAAAGGAAGAAGAATTCTGCTCCTTTAAATAGGAAATGACAAGTTATGTCAGTGATGACCAATATTTAGTGTTGGCACTTCATAAAATTAAATACAGAAAATAAACTGATCAAGCATACATGCTAACCAGAATGTACCATATCTATATTGCTGCAACAAGGAGCTCAGGCTCATTCCAGGTCCTTGTAGCAGCAGAGTGTACCACGTGTCTGAAACAATGCTGTGAGAGCAGAACAGGAAAATATAACTTTTCTGTACAAAGTGAACTGCTGCGTCACAAAACCTAAAAAAGTATACATGACGAGGCATTGTCAAGTGTTATAACTTATCTTTTCACCCTTTTACAAAGGAACAATGCATCTTAAAGACATTCAAACATAACATTAGAAAAAAAAAATGAACGGTCATATATTTAAAAACAAAAAAAAGTAACAAAAAAGGGGATAGTTTAAAAAGTCCATTATTTATAAAGTACAAATGTCTGTAAAGAATAAAGAAATGACCCTTTTTTAAAAAAAAAAAAAAAAAAAAAAAAATAGTGTTTTGCTCCTGGAACAGAAGGTTTCTTGTGTTTCTTTGTGTAGTGTTCTCCTCCTGACCAGCTCCAAGAAAAAACAAAAAACTAATAGCTATAAAATACTGGATATAAAAAGTATCTTACAAAGAAAGGTTAAAAACTGTAGATTAACATATGATCCTAAGGCACTGCGCTGTGAGAGCTTTATACAAGGGGTGCAAGTCAGTCTAGTCCATGATGTGCGATATTCCGAGTGATCGTCCGGCTTGTCTCAGACATAGGCACCGAGGGCCGAGTGGAATTCAGTCAGACATTGTACCAGCTGCTGAAACTTAGGTCTTTCTTCTGGGTCTAGAGCCCAACAACATGCCATGACCGCAAACCTGAGGGTGACAGATTTGAAAAGTTAGATCTGCATCCATGAAAGTCATAATCATTACAGCAGTGGGGTTAACAAATGGTCATCCATGAACCCTGTTAATGTACTTAGTCCCTGTATAGGTAATGTACCAAAATGTCCA